GCTGGAGAAGAAAACATTTTAAAGTTATAAAAGCCAGTCCCCCCTTTCACTCCCCCTGGCCGTGCGCGCAGTCCGGGGGCCGCAGGACTCTCTCTCTGCCCACCCAGGAGGCAGGCTGGAGCGCCAGCAGCTAGTGCTTCCGACCGAAGCCTCAGCTGGGGGCACCCTGATGGCAGCTGGGGGACAGGGGGCCCAACATCCTCACCCCGCGGCCGGGCTGACTCTGAGGCTTGCTCTGCGCAGTGCCAGAGCCACCACCGCCAGCCGCCCGCTCACGGCTCACCCTGTTCTGGTTCCCTTCCCTCCCCATCCCACACGGTCCCTGGCCTCACCCCCCTAAATCCTCTTCTCCGGATCTGCTTCTGGGGGAACACAGGCCAAGCCACTTCCTTTCGCGAAGCAAGAGTGTCTGAGCACAGAGATGCCCACAGGCTGCTGAGCCGCTTTCCCTGGCAAGAAATCCCAGTGTACGCAGCGAGTCGGAAACAGGACAGACTTGAGGGGACAGGCCGGAGGTGGGACACGAGCGGGGCTCCTGGGCAGGGAAACGGCACCCCCACCCCACACCTGAGGCCCTCACCAGTTCAGGAGAAAGTCAGAAAGCCTGAAGGGGACAGAGCACCGTGGGCAGGGTGAGGTGTCCCCTGCATGCCCAGCAGGGTGGGAGAGCGGGGCAGAGGAGGGGCTGGGCCTACAGGTCCGAGATGCCCCAGCTGGCGAGAGCCCTGGGGCCGGGGGTGCAGAAGGGCAGCAGGAGGGGGCGACGGCTCGGTTACCCACGGGTGGGGGCGAGCAACCGGCTCTCAACCCGAGAGTCCCAGCTGGAAGTCGGGGCCCGTGCACCTGCCCCCTGACAACAGCCCCCCTCCCCCACTGTACCTGCTCATCAAGGGGGGAAGCAAGAGTGCTTTTCCCTCTCTGCCAAGGGCAGGGGACGAAGGCACACAGCCCACCTCGGCCTCAGACCCCACCCAGGTCCCTGCTGCTCCCAAGGTCTGTTCCGTCCATGGCACCAGACACGAAAGATAGCTCCCTCCTCCTTCGGACACTCTCCACCCGGCTTCCAGGACGTCAAGCCCCCACCTCCTCCACTCCCTGGAGATCTGGTCCCGCTCACACCTGTCTCTCACCTGGACCTCTCCCTCGAGCTCCAAACTCACAATGACTGTCCTGCCTGCACGACACAATCAGTGGCAACTCAGTATAATGCACCCCAAACCCAATTCCCAGTCCCCCCACCTCCTGCCCCAGGAAACGGCAGCTCTGTCCTTCTGGTTGCTCAGAGCCAGACACCTCAGGGTCATCTTTGACCTTCTCCCTCTCCCCACCCACCCACCCTCAAACCCTGTGGACCCTGGCGTCAGAATCCAGCACAACCGCCATGGCCGCCTTGGTCCTGCCGGCCACAGTGTGCCCCAGGACATTGCAACAGCTTCCTTGGGGGTCTTCTGGCTCCCACACGCCTACCCTTGCCCCCTGCAGATTAGCCTCCACTTAGCAGCCAAAAGTGATTGTTGGAAAACAAATGACAGATCGTGTCCCTCTTCTGCTCAAAACCCTCTTGATGACCTCCCATGTCACCAAGGAAAAGGCAGAGTCCCTCCGTGATCTGACCCCCCACTCGTGACCAGCCCCCCACTTCCGCCGCCCCAGCCACACTCCTGCCTCGGCACCTTGCCCATGCTGTTCCCTCTGTCCAGAACTTTCTACGGCCTGATGTCTGCTCCTCCTTCAGGTCTTGGCTCAGATGTCACCTCCTCAGTGTGGTCTCCCTAAACACCAGGCTTCACATCACCAGCCCCCTCCCCGACCTTTCTTGCTCCCCTCCTCAGTGTTCTCTCTCCAGAGGGAGAGATAGCACATAGCAGGCTCCCCTAAATGCCGAATGAATGACACTTAGCTCCCATGGCCTAGACTGTTGTTCTGTCCTCTCTGAGACAGAGAGGTTAAGGTGCTTGCCTGGCATCACACAGCCAGTAAGTGGGGACAGCATACAGGGAACTCTGGTCTGTCTGTCACCAAAGTTTTGCTCTTGGAGGTGGGGTGGTCTGGATGGGGGGGAAGAGTCTGGCCCTGATGCTTCCTCGGGGTGGGGGGGTTACTTAACTTCTGGAGCCTCAGGTCCCCCACCTGCAGAATGAGGGGAGCATGGCAGGGGAGCAGCTGTGAGGACGAATGAGTGCCCCCAAAGTGTTACTCTGATCAATACCTAGAGCAGGGGCCCCCCTCCCAGGCCAGGCACGTCCTTCACACATCTTCACGTCTCGGGAGCCGTTTCCGACGCCCCCGGCCCACCCTCGCTCTGTTGGCAGAGACTCAGCAGGGGGGCTGTCGACTGATAGGATAATTCCACGATCGTCGTTAAGTCCGCCAGTTTCTCGGTGACGGATCTCCAGGGTCCCCTTCAGCTGAGCGATCTGTAGGTCTAGGATCTAAGAGACCCGAAGAGTTCCCAGACGCCCACTCCCACACACAAGGGGGGCTTCTTAACGAGACAGTCTGCCTCAAGTCGTTTGGAACGAGACACGCTACCAGGAGGATTGCCACTTGTCCTTGGCAATTCACTGAGTGAGGCGTCATCGTCCCCGTTTTAGAGATGGGGAGACAGGCCTGCCGGTGAAGGGACACGCCGGAAGACACACAGCAGGTCTTCCATGGATGCAGACCTGCCAGATCCTAGACCCCAGGCTCGCTCGTCGCCCCAAGTGGCCGCAACTTCCCGGTGACTGTTCTAGGAAAAGTCTCACCCAGCATTTGACTCGGGGGATCAAGGCACCCACTGGGAGCCCGGCCCAGACAGCGTTCGGTAATGAGCTTGAGCGCGTGTGCTTTTGTTCCTCTCCCGCGAGCCGCGGGCAGGACACTGGTGGGTCTCCCTTTGATACTAAAAGGGGAACGGAGGGTCAGAGAAGAAGGGCGCATCTGGGATGGAATGTCCAGTGTCCTGAAGGGTCACTGTCCAGGGTCATGGTTCCCCCGGACACAGCTCCCCACTCCCCGCCCTGGGGACCCGTGCTGGACCACTTGCCTATGGGAATAGATCCACCTCCTCACAGCCCACCTTGGCTCAGGCTGTCCCCTCCTGGAGGCCTTGCCCTTTCTCTGCAGCACCCTTGACCACCCCCAAGCCCTCAGCCGGGGCCCTGACACCTGCACTCTGCTTTAACTGCACTTCCTGGGGGCGGAGGTGGCCACTGCCTTGCTCGCCTCCATGGCCCCAGCAGCTCACAGGGTGTCTGAGGAGAACGGGGGCCCGAGGGGTTTGTGAAAGAGCTGAATGAGCCAGGGCTCCTCCAGGGGGGCCAAGACCCCACCAGGGGGTTAGGACCTGGCTGAGGTGGCCTTACCCTCCATGGTGGCTCCCCCACCAGGGTTCCCGGAACGTCCATGGAAGCCCATGGAGCTATACAGCTGGGTCTCGTTGACAGGGCTGCCTCCCACCCCCGCTGATCTCCGCTTTCCTCCCCCCCCCCGCCCCCCGCCACCTGGCGCCGCCACCAGTGAGTGTGAAAGGGAGGCCCCACAGGTGGGCGGGTGGTGGGTGGACAGACACGGGGACAGATGCCAGCGAGGTGGTGGGTGGGAAGATGGAGAAACACTTCCCTTTTGGGTGGTGGGTATTGGCTTTGTTTTTTTCCCTGCAGGCAGCTCTAGAAATCTAAGGATGGAGACTGAGCCAGAAGAAGGAAGCCAGGGCCCCAGGCAGCCCCACCCACAGCCTGGGCTCTGCTGCCACCATCTGGAACTCAACCCCTCCTCCCTCAGCCCCCTCCCCGCCTCACCCTGTCACCCTTAGCAATAGCCCCCGACCCCCATCCTCCACAAGGTGAAGCCCTTCAGATTTCTTCCCTCCCAGGTGGGCAGGGACAGGTGCCGAGGCCACCTGCCTCCATCCCGATCCAGAGCAGGGAGGGCAGCCTTCTCTTCAAAAACTATTCAGATGGGACATCTGAGTGGCTCAGGCGTTAGGCGTCTGCCTTCGGCTCAGGTCATGGTCCCAGGGTCCTGGGATCGAGCCCCACATCAGGGTCCCTGCTCCGCGGGAAGCCTGCTTCTCCCTCTCCCACTCCCCGCTTGTGTTCCCTCTCTCGCTGTGTCTCTGACAAATAAAATCTTAAAAAAACCAACTATTCAGAAAAGCAGCTCCCAAGAGCCCCTTCTCAAGCAAAAGAGAACTTTCTGGGATGATGGAAATAGTCAGATCTGTATTGTCCAGGACAGTCGGCACAGACCCCATGGGGCTCTTCGAGACGCTAGAAATGTGGCAGTGGGACTACAGGAACTGAATTTGTGACTTTTTTCCTTTTAATTAATTACAAAAGTAGAAAGCTACACGTGGCCAATGTCGAGGGCATCAGACAGCTCATTCTAGGGCTTGTGCTGTGTGGTGGGGTCTCCCTGGTGCTCCTATTTCCAGAACAGCCCTATCTCATGACAACTGTCTCTTCCCCGTCACATCTCAAAAAACAAAAAGTCAGTCCAGGTGCTCATGTTATTGTCTTTTATTCCAGCATCTCCCAGAGCTCCAATATGTACAGACTTCATTTATACACATAATATACACCATATATACGTATTTATAGATATTCACACACCAGCCCACATGCTCTCAGACTCTCACACGCACACGGCCTTCCCCGAGAGGTGCGTGGCCACCTCTGAGCCCCGCTCGGCCGCACGAGAGGCCCTGGGCTTGCCAGGCAGTTGTGAGGTTTTGTGTTTTTTTTT